TTATAATGTTTATAATAAAAATAACCATCGATATTCATAGCACTAGTAAAAAATTTTCCCGCCAAATGAAATCAGGTAAGGCAGAGCCATCTAGTGTAGAGAAATTTCACAAAAAAGTATAAAAAATGAGCACAGCATTTTCCCCCCATTTTTTGTTCATTTTTACCTGGCGCGAATGGATTAAGAAGTCACCCTGGCGACCCTTACGGCTTTCTTTCCTGAACTCTTCTGCTTTATTTCTACATGGTGATTTTCCCTTCCTGCTTAAGGAGAATGTCGTTTGGAGGCCTCGCAAAGCTCTCTTCACTACTTCCTCTTCTAATCTAATATACTCACAGTGACAGAGATGTGCTTTTTCATCTGTTTAATCTTTTAAAAATACTCACAGAATCCTGAAAACCAAGTGAAATATTCTCAACAGAAAAGAAATATGAAAATACTCATAAAATATGAATATAAAGAACACAAATCTTACCTATCAATGCGCGCCTTCAGTGGAACATTGGGTGTCGGCTGCTGACCCTGCTTGAAGGGAACTCCCGTGAATGGGTCCGAGGGAGGTCTTCCCCAGATGGACTCATTTGCAATAAACCTTCAGAATATAAAGAAGATAATCTGATTAAAATATATATACACAGGCATTTTATATATATATATATATATATATATATATATATATATATATATATATATATATATATATATATATATATATATATATATATATATATATTAGATACATACATACATACATACATACAAACATAACATACATCCATACATGGCATGTACATACCAGGTAGCAATGGATGAAGGTACAATTAATTTGTTTCACTGAAGCTGGCTTGAGAATTCCTAGATTTCCTAATAAGTAAAGTATTTTTCACTTGAAGATCCTTGTTTATGGGTTCTTCCCTTCATCTAAGTATTTCTGATAAATTCAAATGTGATTGCATCCACATCTATTTACACTCTGACTCAACCATCTGTCATTAAACACATATAGTGAATGCCCATATACAAATAAGAAGCAAGAAAAGTAATATATGGAATAACTAAATCAGTCAAACACAGTGATGCAGGAGGGAACTGACCTTTCCAGGGTGTGGGCATCTATGGAATGCCCTGAAGGCATCAGCAATGGCACTGACATCACCTCACACGTCAGAGGGTCAAGAAAGTCCTCAGGAATGTCCAGGGAATCTGGTAAATGAATTGTGATGGTTTACTAGATATCCAGAAATATCAGAACTAGATGGACTTGTTAACTAACTCAAATATCATCTTAATTTACAGCATTTTAGAATGAGAAAGCATGAACACATACTGACATAAATAACTTAAAAGAAAGAAGTGAATTATTAGAAAGGAAAGAAAGACAATAATGCTTTTTTGTTCCAGCCTAAAGAGAGGGATCATCCAATTCAAATGGAGCAGATTTTGTGATCTTACTTTCTTAATTAAGCTATATTTCACATGATTTTCATATGACTACTGACTAAATATATGCCCTTTGCCTAACAAGATGGGAATGTCTTTCACGTACAGACTAAGAAAAAAGATTTTACAATGTATTGATTCATTATTCCATAAGGATGCTAGCTTTGAAAGGAATATATAATGATACCAGTAATTTTCTTTAGAGTTCATTGAGAGGAAAAATAGGAAAAAAATGTATTCACAGAATCAGTACCTTGTGCTGCCGAAGTACTAGCATTAGCCTTAGTAGAATCTGAATAAGTCGCCTCTGGCTCTGAGTTATATAATCGTGGCAAAGGTGGTGCTGTTTTGTCCTCTTGTGTTCGACATTTCCACTTCTCTAAAAGGACCTTTTTTTGACTCTTGCTTGTGGTGATGCTGGGCTGACCCCAGACTTCAAGGGACTGAATGACTGGTGGGCCCTTTGCGACTGTGCACATTATCCTGATAATCATGCTCTTCACAACCTTCAACGCTTGCCTGTTGGCATGCTTCAGAGATCCCTTGTACTCTCCTTGAACTTGATTCCTTATACCACAACCTGGCATTGGTATATGCAACCAGTGCTGATAATGAGGATTTCTAAGGACTATTCTTTCTGCATTCTGGGTAAAGAACTTGCCAACACAAAAATACAAATCTTCAAATTTTTCTTCTGTTTGAGCAATGGGTCTCATAACCTGCTTTACTTCGGGAGAGGCCACACTTTCTGAAAAGTTATTCTTAGATGCTTCTAAATCAGGCTCTGCAGCACAGGAATAAAACTCCTTTTGAAAAGATGTATCTGACAAAGGGGATCTGGGCCAAGTTTCTGATAACTGCTTGCTATTTCCACTTATTTCGGAAGATTCGCCTAAAGAATTTGCTTTATCTGGTACTTTTGTCTGAACTGGAGAAGTGTCTTCCAGCCTGGTAAAAACAGAAAAGCCATTGCTGTTCATGTGATCCAACCGGGAATTTATAACGATATGGCTAATGTGAACAGGTACAGGGAAAACCAGGGACACGTCAATGGGAGGCCGAATGAAGTACTCTCCCATGAACCCCTTTTTTCTGGCTGATGGATCCTCACTTATCTGGAAATGCAGGAGACATGGCAGAAAAATATCTTTAGAACAAGTTATGCAATTCTTTAATTTCTAAACTTGAAAAGCTTGGGATGTACTGACTATTTGCTTTATTCTATATTAATATATATGGGTTTATTTTCTTTTCTTTTTTTTAAACCCAACTGCCCTAGATTTATGTTCTGTCCCCTGTAGTTTTTTGTAAATGGTGTTCCATACAGATGGCTCCACGTGTGCTCTGCTAGCAAGGAATCTATCAGTAACGCTAGTGACTGATCCTGATTTTCCCATTCCTTAAATTGGCGGGAAAATGTGTTTTTCTCTTTAATACAGTTGACATCGATAATGTTATTACTGTTATTGATGTTATGATTATTTGATTGTTATTAAATTCTCAATAACATTTTTAAGACAATGAAATAATGCAAGAGACCCTTTCCAAAAGTCAAGGAAAAGGGTAAACAGGTGAGATAGGTAGGACTAATAACTGACTCTTTGGTGACTAAGTACTTGTAGAGCCATCTATGTGCAAATACAATAAATAAACTTGTATTACATTCGGCATGACATGAATTCTTGCCATAGGTGGCAATTGGGTTAACCCATTCACGCCGGGTGTCACGTATATATTTTTACACATAGATGGCTGCACTTATACTTGTACTACATGTCTCGCCTGTTTACCCTTCTCTTTAATTTACGACAATATTATACATTACCTATTTTGCTGTTAATAACATTATAGTAATTATAATGTTTATAATAAAAATAACCATCAACATTTATAGTACTAGTAAAAATACATTTTCCCGCCAAATGAAATACGGTAAGGCAGAGCCATCTAGTGTAGAGAAATTTCACAAAACGTATAAAAAATGAGCACAGCATTTTCCCCCATTTTTTGTTCATTTTTACCCGGCGCGAATGGGTCAAAAGAAAAAATGATCTAATGTCAGAAATTACAAAGTTTTACCTTTTTACAAACTAGTATGAAATTACTTGAGCATAGAAAATTATACCCACTTGCCACATAAAGAGCTGCATTGCAATAGACTAATTACGTTTTAAACTTTAGCTTTAGCACAGACATCCTTTTCTGCTTTCTTATTGTAAAAATAACTGTAACAATGAAAAATAACTGTAACAATGCTTCTCAGTTATATCAACCCTCTGGGATTCTTGCTTCCCACTCAAGTACTCTTCATGATCTTAAATTGAATGCTTCTCTTTAAAAATAAAATCTTAAAAAATAAATAAATACTCACCAAGTTACTGACTTCCCTGCCATCTGCACCTGGTTTGCTCGAGGATATCTTGGGATCCAAACTCTCTGAGCAGAAATTCATCCTGCTATGAGTGATACACATCAGTGCTCAGGAATATTCTGATAGATCATTTATTCATACACAGTAGAGAGAAATCTTAGTTATAATAAGAACACAGACTAATTCTATACCCTATCTTAATAACATTTGTATAATAAGGATTCATTTATAAAGGACAAGCAGAGAGGCAAGCCAAGTGTGCAAGTAGCTGGTCTCATGTTTGAAAGGCAAGCAGTTATGCAGCCTTCTGTCTTCAGATCTAGTCCATGGATCTGTTTTGTTGTTTTTTAGATGGTATCTTTTGATGCCAGTTTAATTCATAATTTTCATTTCTTTAATAGTTTTTGAGTCTTGAGTTTTGGCTACTGGTCTACTTATGGCATGGGCTTTTTTAACTGCTTGCTTAGCAATTTCCTTTTACATTTTTCTGTGGAGGAATCCATAGAAGTAATAGACACTAACTCAAGCCCTCAAACATACACATATATAAATATATAATACATGAACCATCACCAATAAAAAATCATGAAGTTAAACTGGTAAATACTTCAGACAGAAGCATGTCAATCAAATGTCATGCATGGGATGTGCTGCAACCTACACTATACAATGGCAGTGGAGATGGAAGCTCTCCTAACAATATATCTCAAAGAACCATTCCACACTCCATCTTGCCAAAATATGAGGGGAAAGAGTAGTCAGTGCAATAAAAAAAATCGTTCTGAAAGACGATATAGGTACTTCGTATACATTTAGCAAAATTAGACATATTATGGGAGTATCTTTTATAAATCTCACGGTGGATATTGCTTTGCCATTCTTTACATTATACTTTGATAGAAAAACCCACAATGTAAAAACTAGATTATACTTTGTTGATAACATGTAAACAAGAGACAAATGCCAGAGTAACTTACAGCTCTGCTATCTTCTTGCAGTGCCTTGATCGACTTACTTTTTTTTTGTAAGTTTATAAGTGAAGACAGTGTAAGACGATCTGATATTTCCAGCTTCTTTAACTGTTTCAGGTCATGACAAAAGTCGTCCGTTCAAGCCTCCAGGTGACGAAGGTGGCCCCCCCCCCCATCGGCGCCGCCCCCCGCGCCTTATGAATGGCTGTGACGTCACCGATGTAAACAAACGCAGGAGGCCAGCTGGCGGTGGGCGGCCCTTGGACTCTTACTGCTAAAATTCTTCAGCGGGCGGCCCATGGACACTCACTGCTAAAATTCTTCAGAAGGAAGACGAAGGAGAGGGAGAGAATGTGCCTTTGACACTAAAGTTGTTCTAGCTCTTCAAAAGGAGGACGAAGAAGCGGGAGAGAATGTGCCTTTGACGAGCAACTGTGCAAATGACAGATTTGTTGATTTCTTTAATTCGTACGTAGCTCGACGCTGAACTTCCTGCGATTTCTTCTCGTTTATTGAGGTGATACAGGTTTTAATAAGGTTTAATTGCATGCAGATTTAAATAGGTGTATTTCTTATTTATTACCGAGAGCGACGCACCTCAAGAGACGTTCCAAAACCAGGCTGTCATGCGAACCCAAAATCCAAACCTTTGCTACCTTCTATATATTTCCTAGTTAGGGGGGCAAGCCTTCTATGCCCTCCTTTATGAGTATGTTGTACCAATTTACAGAAAACATGACATTCAGAACTCTGGCAGTGTGAGGGTGTTGTGGTCTTCATCTCTGGGCGATAACATGACAGAGGATATTATCATCATTTGTTGGTCAATATGAGGCCGCTGTAGATGTACCGGTGTTGCTAATGATTCAATTTTTTATGCTTTATAAGATACCATTGCCCATTTCCCACTATCTCTGTGCATCGCTCTTGGTAACATTAACCCCAGTTTCGTCCAAGTTTTTCATTTTGGGCTCTCTGATACTTGTGAGTCAAATAAATTTTATTTTTCATTTGCAACAAGTATGTAGAAGATAAGTTTCTTAGGGTAGTTTTCTGGAATAGTATTGCATGACCGATAGCGATGATTTTTGTATCGATGGCTTCCTCTCACCCTCTAGTACACATATATGTATGAATTATGCTGTGGAACCCCCCCCAAACCCCCACATTCTTGGCTCTGATAGCCAGGGAGGGCCTAAAAGAGACCAGTGAAATTGCAGGGTAAAATATGAATACTGTACACAGACTCAGTCACCTTCCATGCCCTCCCATGGTATCAGGGCCAAGAATATGTGAGTTTGCGAGTGTTTCACAGCAAAGTTTCAATATATTTGGATATTATATACAGAATGAGAGAAATCCATCGATACTAAAATTGTCGCTGTCAGTTATGTGACACGACTCCAGAAGATTACCATTTCTTAGATTTATTTTCATTATAAAAAATGTCTGGATGAAACTTAACTTCACCCAGTTAAGGGTATTGAGAAATATTGCAAGAGGGTAGAAGTGCACACCCAAAATTTTAGGAAACAAAGTGTGATACCTGTATGGATACAGTTTGAACATTGTTTTTGTTTTTTTCCCCTTGAAGCTCCATTTAAATAAAGACTTTTTGTGTGAGGCAGATAATTCAGTGATTTCTTAAAATGACACCTGCAGTGCCTTTCAGAGTTTTTTCATATTGTTAATGCATTTTATCCAACTCAATTTGAAACTTGCCACAATCTGTGATGGCCACCAACTAGACTGGCTCCTTCCTTGATGATAAATCCCTTGGGAATTCTATTAGCACATATTAATTTGTGCAAAGCCAATGGCAAACTTGTAGATGCCTTTTAATTTTGTAACTGTGATTCATCTTTGGCTATGAAGCCTTATTATGGCTGTAAACAAGAGTGGACAATTATAAATACATATTTCAATGAAGCCAATACTTCCAACTCTTGATTTATAATTACACTACATTTCTGAGCTTGTGAGGTTGGAAAGGTAGCAATGTAATTATATTTAAGTTCAGTATCTGCCCAACTTCTATCCAGTCTCCACTTGAAGGTGTTGATGGAGTTTGCCTTCAGAACTTCTGGGTGCAGAGCATTCCTCATGGGATATACACAAATAGAAAAGAATTACGACTGGAAAATATTGCAGTCGTGTTCCCTTGTTATTGCATCCTCACTTCTTTCAAGCATGTCTTGGCTTAAAAACTCATGATAGTAACCTTTGATAATTTTAAACGTTGCTGTCATGTCTCCTCTTGCCCTTCAATGAGCAAGAGTTGGCAATTCCATCTCTCTCAATCGCTGTATGATAGGTCTTGCAGCCCAGGTACCATCTTTGTAGCCCTGCGCTGAACATTTTCCAAGGCAGTTTTGTCACCCATTTTCAATGATGACCATACTTGGTTACAATACTGGTCATACTACAGTATAGTATATACTATAGTACTATAGTATAGTATATACTATAGTACTATAGTATAGTATATACTATAGTACTATAGTATAGTATATACTATAGTACTATAGTATAGTATATACTATAGTACTATAGTATAGTATATACTATAGTACTATAGTATAGTATATACTATAGTACTATAGTATAGTATATACTATAGTACTATAGTATAGTATATACTATAGTACTATAGTATAGTATATACTATAGTACTATAGTATAGTATATACTATAGTACTATAGTATAGTATATACTATAGTACTATAGTATAGTATATACTATAGTACTATAGTATAGTATATACTATAGTACTATAGTATAGTATATACTATAGTACTATAGTATAGTATATACTATAGTACTATAGTATAGTATATACTATAGTACTATAGTATAGTATATACTATAGTACTATAGTATAGTATATACTATAGTACTATAGTATAGTATATACTATAGTACTATAGTATAGTATATACTATAGTACTATAGTATAGTATATACTATAGTACTATAGTATAGTATATACTATAGTACTATAGTATAGTATATACTATAGTACTATAGTATAGTATATACTATAGTACTATAGTATAGTATATACTATAGTACTATAGTATAGTATATACTATAGTACTATAGTATAGTATATACTATAGTACTATAGTATAGTATATACTATAGTACTATAGTATAGTATATACTATAGTACTATAGTATAGTATATACTATAGTACTATAGTATAGTATATACTATAGTACTATAGTATAGTATATACTATAGTACTATAGTATAGTATATACTATAGTACTATAGTATAGTATATACTATAGTACTATAGTATAGTATATACTATAGTACTATAGTATAGTATATACTATAGTACTATAGTATAGTATATACTATAGTACTATAGTATAGTATATACTATAGTACTATAGTATAGTATATACTATAGTACTATAGTATAGTATATACTATAGTACTATAGTATAGTATATACTATAGTACTATAGTATAGTATATACTATAGTACTATAGTATAGTATATACTATAGTACTATAGTATAGTATATACTATAGTACTATAGTATAGTATATACTATAGTACTATAGTATAGTATATACTATAGTACTATAGTATAGTATATACTATAGTACTATAGTATAGTATATACTATAGTACTATAGTATAGTATATACTATAGTACTATAGTATAGTATATACTATAGTACTATAGTATAGTATATACTATAGTACTATAGTATAGTATATACTATAGTACTATAGTATAGTATATACTATAGTACTATAGTATAGTATATACTATAGTACTATAGTATAGTATATACTATAGTACTATAGTATAGTATATACTATAGTACTATAGTATAGTATATACTATAGTACTATAGTATAGTATATACTATAGTACTATAGTATAGTATATACTATAGTACTATAGTATAGTATATACTATAGTACTATAGTATAGTATATACTATAGTACTATAGTATAGTATATACTATAGTACTATAGTATAGTATATACTATAGTACTATAGTATAGTATATACTATAGTACTATAGTATAGTATATACTATAGTACTATAGTATAGTATATACTATAGTACTATAGTATAGTATATACTATAGTACTATAGTATAGTATATACTATAGTACTATAGTATAGTATATACTATAGTACTATAGTATAGTATATACTATAGTACTATAGTATAGTATATACTATAGTACTATAGTATAGTATATACTATAGTACTATAGTATAGTATATACTATAGTACTACAGTATAGTATATACTATAGTACTATAGTATATACTCAATAGTACTATACTGTAGTATATGATTTACCTGTAAAGTCATAAATGATTTTAGCATATTCTTTCTTATTTCATAGTAGATCACCTCAAAGGTGCACAAGTTATTTTTGGCCAAAGCATTCTTGGGAGAAGTTTGTTTATTGCTGGAGTGCCAAGGCACAGACAGGGGCTTGAGTCATGGCAGGTTTATCTTTGATTAGTGATTGTGGGCTTATCTTTACTTATGTTTCATTTATTATGAGTGTTTATAATGGTTCCTTAAGATTTTTTATCTATTTATCTCTGCATGCTTCTTGTTTCAAGATTTTCCACAGATATCAATTTACATTATTTTATTGAAGTAATCCAAATTCGTGTCTTCCCTTTTTATTTACACTAAGTGTATTCACAGATTTGGTTGGATCTGTTTTACTGTATGTGAATCTTGAAAAATCTTGACATAGATATTAAAATTATTTACAGGTACAAGGACTTTAAACAGTTTTAAACGTAGGACGCATCGTGTTTAAGATTAAGATGAATATTTTTCTTAATGCTCCCTGTCCATTATTTCTTTGTTTTGTAATTAATATAAACTTACCAAAAACAACTGACAGAAAACAAAGGGCACAATAGGCAGCAAAATATGGTTTCTATAAGCTAAATATATCCAGAATCATTATATAACATGATAAAACAGACTAAATGCAGAAGGAAGTCGCTATGATCTGAGCAGTGGTTCCCAAATTCTACTCAGTGTTGGCATCTTAAACTCACCTAGTCCTTTCTCTATTTCAATTTGATTCACACTTTCTGCAGAACCCCCTCACATGAATTTATCTTTACAGCATCATTGTGCTTCATTGCCTTTTCCACAAAATACTAGAGCTCAAAACATAATAAACACAAGTTACATGTTCAAATGACAAGCATAGATTTAACAGAAGAATGAGGGCAACTTAAAATTTTACCGTGGAAACTTGTAGCACCACTATGTACATGACACCCAGTTTGAGAACCACTGGCTTAGAGAGACTGCCACCTGAAAGAGTGATCAGTTACCAATGACAGCGTAAAACTCTTCTGTTACGAGCAATATAAGATATTTGCTGTTGAGATAATTGACATTGCTGTCTGCCAAATGGTTGTTGCCATAAGCATTATACCTCCTCTGGGCACAAAGGTCAATTTTGGAGCTTTTTCAATTTGATAATAATATGGGATATATTTGGCTATAGGATATATGCCTGTTGTGATCTTTATAGAATTCCCTTTGATGTAGATTTATCAGAAGATTAATAGTGAATATTTGAAGATGTTCTTGACTCCAACCAGAATATGATACATATTTGATTCTTCTATTCATCTTTCTAAAGTGCTATATAAATATCATCTAAACAAATGAAGACTGATGTAAATACTGCATATGAACCACTCTGTTTCTTGGGGGGGGGGGGGGTCATGGCTAAGGACCAAATTAGAAATCTGTTAACCTTAGAAGATGATATGTCTGTTCAAAGTGATTATTCCATCACATTTTAGTTTTACTAGATATAGAATGTGATGACCATTTGCTTGCATTATCTAATTCTCTGCATCCTGTAGGCCTTTCAGTATTCTATTCTTACAGCCTCCATTGCATGTAAGGTCCTTTTTACTGGAATAGCTTTCTTTTTCTAATTTGCCTTTGTTATAGATTGGTGGTTCTTACGCTTCTAGAGGTTGGACTGCACACCCTGCCTACTGATAAAAAAAAAAATCCTTTGTAGATCAAAAGTTAACACAATATGTATTTTTGTCTTATTGTACAAAAATTGGGAATAAGCAACACTTATATACATTGCAGCAATAGTGAAAGAATTCTAGATTGCTTGCAGGAGATGTACAGGTTGTAGAACTATTATAGGTGGTCCTATAAAGTAGCACAAGACTAAGAAAATTATATAAGGAAGAGGTTCCTGAACCAAGCCATAGGGATGTTTCCCAAAGAATCACACATCCAGATACTTAGTACATTTTCTTTTTTATTATCTTTAGCTATCACCATTATGATTCCAATCCTAGTATACTATACAACATACACTTACACCAACTCTTAGTACAAGTCATATGATAGTTAGAGCCTCTACACTTTACACATCAACTCTTTAAAACTGAAAACTAATGTTACTTTTTGCTGTTCAGGTGCAAGGCATGGATCCCTGGGGTTCAACAAGGGACCCCTCGTCAGAGGCTGGCATGGGCTTCGAAGACTCCTTTTCGCCACAAGACAAAGACCAACAGGGAGAAGGTTTGTTGAATCTTTCATTTGTCTCTCTCTCTGTAAACTGTGGATATTTACATTTTGATTCAGACATGACTAGGGGATATGTTAACCCATTGCCGCTGGGGAAAATGAGTAAAAAATGGGGAAAATGCTGTGCTCTTTTTTTTTTCTTTTTTTTTTTCTTTTTTGTGAAATGTCTCTACACATAGATGGCTCTGCCTTACCTGATTTCACCTTTCCTTGAATTGGCAGGAAAATGTATTTTTTACTAGTACTGTGAATATCTATGGTATACCCCCCTATAAACATTATAATTACCATAATGTTACAATCATTAATAATAACAAAAAAAGGTAACACAAAATATTTTTGTAAAATAAAGAAAAGGGTGAACGGGCAAGACAGGTAGTACTTGCAACTGGCTCATTGGTGATTTAGTACAAGTGTAGCCATGTATGTGTAAAAACAATTAAATAAGTAAACTCACAGTGGGCATGGCACGGACATGTGACATGCCTGTCATGAATGGGTTAAATACATGCCACCAAGCACATAATTTGAAATAAGATAATATGTATGCTGGAATAGTGATGGAATAAGAGAGCTCATATAGATGTTGGTAATAGTAAATGAGTGAAAAAAGGACAGTTTTGCTATCAGAAGGGCCGAGAAGTCACAAGAGAGGTCAGATATTACCTGTCTTAACAATGGTGCATCCCCATGCTCAACTATACCCCCCTATTCCCTTGCCCATTGCTCTCAAGCAAGGGATCACCCCTGCCTTTAAACTCAGCTCTCCCTTCAACTAAATTTGCATGGTCTTTTCTTCTCCCCCTTTCCTTTCCTTCTCTTCTTCATCCCCTTCTGTCCACTTCCTAAGGTGTGAGAGCCATGCTGAAGGAATGAAAGGCTGGCTTTGTGTCAGTCATGAACAGCCTCCAGGAGCCATGGGCACGGTATTCCCTTGGTTAATCCCCTAGCCCTTACCGCTCATGAGGACCCTGGGGGTAGACTCTTTCTTCTCCCCATATATTTTGTCCTTATTAAGGGCATTAAGGCTTGCCCTTTCATCAGCTAGCCTATCCAAGAATGATTTCTCTGGTTTCCCAACTCCTGCTTCTCCTTTGACCATGACTCTGACCACTGATACTAATACCCCCTCCTCAGTGTTTCCTTTCAACTCTATCCATTCCAAATCATCCACCAAAGTCATCCTTATTGTCCTCCCCACAGTACTACCTCTCTCCATACCACCCCATCTTCCTCCTTTTCCTTCTACTGCTTCCACCTTTGCAAACCTTTTGAGTGCTCTTTTTGGCCCAGCCAAGTGGGATCAATTCTCTGTAATTCCTTTTATAGCCCCTTAGTCTGACAATACCCTTCTCTTCCAGCTATGTCTCAAAAAATAGTTACATCTAAGTCCCACACTCATGCACTATCTACCCTGACTGACCTCACTGGCAAACCTATTCCTGCCCAACCTCACTCCTCCCTTAATACTTGTACCTTAGCTGTTTCCGCCTCCCGAACTGATTGTCCTGTCTATGACAATGACTGGTTAGACTATGAAAATGACTTGCTTGCATGCCTAGTCAACTACAGTGCAGTGGCAGTCCAGTACTACACTATTCCTCCCAGAGGCCTACACCAATTTTGCCAATATTAGCTTCCATAGACATGACCCCCCCAGTGAAGTTTATAATGGTGGAGTGTCCTGCCCTGTCCGACTTTGTATACCTCTTCCCTGTCAATGTCAGAAATGTTGGTGTTTTGGCCACCCAACCAAACACTGTCTCTCCGCAGCCCTCTATGTGCCCAACCTGGTCTTGACAGTTCAAAGTGCCCTCCTCAGTCATGCACATGTGTCAATTATGGTGGCTCCCATAATGTATTTCATAGGAGCTGCCCTGTCTGCAAGCTCAAATCTGAGGTAGCAGTTCTCAGATTCCAATTAGGCCTCACTCTCCTTGAGGCCAGACAAGAAGCACGCTGACAAGATTTTTCTCTTTTTATCTTCCAAAACTGTACTTCCCTTTGCTCCCCTCCCTTCTACTCAAGAAATCTCAGCATCTCCCCCAGTATCTCTTCCCTCTACCCTGAACCATCCTATCTCTACTCCCTTTCTCCCCCAGTCAAATTCCTATTCCAGTCTTAATCCAGGCATTCCAATCTCTACCACTTACCCAGTGCCAACCCCTCCATCTTTCTCTACCTGTCTCACCAGATAATCTGAACGTTCCACCCCATCTTCCACCACATCCTCTCCTACACCCACCTCTCCTTCTACTCGGAATCTATTCCCTCTTCTCTTCCACATGAGAAAACCTTTGTTTCTCAGGCCTCCCCACCCAACCCACCTCCAGAAACTCTGAAAGACATCCAAGATTCCCTAAACATGACCCAGATGAATGCTCCACTCCCTCATCTACCCTCCAATCCCTCTGTTCCTATTCGCTCTACATTCAAACTATTTACCATTATCCATCCTCTTCCTGAAGTCCCCCCCTACCCCTCTTCCTCCCACTCTCCCAAAAATCACTCCATCCTCTCCTCCTCCAAGTGCATCACCATTCCCTCTTCCTGCCCCATTATCCTTAGTCACAACAATGTCCTTCTCCTGATCCCTCCCCTTCTGACATTCTTCCCGAGAATTCACCACTTTCACCTGTTCCCTTATCTCATTCTCTGGATTTTTCTCCTGTTTCTGCAATTATCATTTCTACCCATATTACCTTTTGATTGTGTCAGAATGACTGTTTTGCAGTCTCCCTCATATAGTGTTACTCTCCCTTCCATGGACACACACTCTCCATTTGACCTGATTGCCCTATACTTTTAACCCCTTTCCCTTTTTACAAATCCCCACCATATTCCATTTGCTCCCCTCTATAACCTTTTCATTACCATTCTATCCTAAAGCATTCTACAACCTTTGACATCTAACACATTTTATGCTAATTGTTAACTCATTTCCACCCTTTTTGCCACAATACTACAATAATACATGGTACTGTATGATCTTTGATGTCTAGTACAGATATATTTCTTCTAATCAGTAATCATCTTCAGCAAGACCAAAGATTTCCACTACCGATGTTCCTAACCTTTAACCCATTGCCGCCAGGGATGGCATGTACGTACATGCCATGCCCACTGTGAGTCGACTTGTTCGATTGTTTTTAAACATAGATGGCTACACTTGTACTAAGTATCCAATGAGCCAATTACGAGTACTGCCTGTCTCGCCCGTTCACCCTTTTCTTTGATTTACGATAATATTTAATGTTATCCTAATTTGCTGTTAAAAATAACACCATCTATATTTATAGCACTAGTAAAAATACGTTTTTCCCCGCCAATTCAAGGAAAGGTGAAATCAGGACTAGCAGAGCCATCTATGGACAAACATATTTCACAAAAATATAAAAAATGAGTACAGCATTTCCCCCATTTTTTGTTCATTTTCCCCGGCTGTAGTTAAAGAGACATTTCGCATTTTTATTAGATGCTGACTGCTAGGTACAGCATAGTTGTAATGGCTCTTGGCAGCTTCACAGAACGCAGTGTGCAGAGAGCATCAGTAAGGGCATATGCTGTCTATGCAGTTGGCCTTACATTTGCCCCTGACTCTGCATGCTCAACTATATATGCTTATATGCTTATGCATATTTATATTTATATTAATATAGATATAAATATACATACCAACAATAACTGTGTATCTTATGTATGTATACATCAGGTAGTATAGCAAGCACTCCTGAAGGAGACTAAGTGCTATTTTATGTTCACATTTGTGTCGCTTTGTTCCCAGGCATGTATATCCCGCTGGATGACTCCCTGCAGTACATCGCTGGCCTCGAAAGGAAGTTGGCTCGAGTTCAGGGCAAGACGAGAAGCCAGCGGCAAGCTGAAAGCCGCAGACTCATCGACGCCTTGGCCTCATCCAGGGATGCCCACACGCAGCAGCTGATGGAGAGCACGGACGCACGCGCGGATGCAGACCTGGAGGCTGATACGGAGCATCACTCCTCAGCTGCTGTTGATCCTCAAGGTAATGAAGACACTCATGGCCCCTGAACTGAATTTCGGTTTGTGATACGTCGGGTGTTCAGGTTTTGGTTACTGTTTTGATTTATGATTATTTGTTTTATGACCTAATCCAGTTAGCTACATTTGTCTTACTTTCTGTGATACTTGTCCTTCTCCTGCGTAAGGCAAGAAATAAGTGACAAAATCTCCACATTAATGATCAAGTCTAGTGGGTTTTCATTTCTTTTATTGTTAGTATATTGATGTAGTGCACTTTTGAGATCACTTCCTTATGCATGGTGTCATGAGTGGCATACTTCAGCTGTACACACACACAGCGATCAGTTTAGTTCAGTGAGAGTTGCGTAGGCTAGCTTCAGCCGGGCCTTCCATGGGGCCCGGCCTGTGGTAGCTATTTGGAGCTGTCTTTGATAAATTATCACTGGATGCTTCCCACGGTGGCTCGATTGTGAACTGGTGCTCTAGCTGCCACGATGTAAACGAGAGGCATAATCTTTTTACCAGTCCGGCAGCTGTGGCCCCTGTCTTAGAAATTGTGTGTGCTCACAACTCTGTAAATGGTTTAACAGGATGGGACACATGGGCTAGGGCTCCCATGACCACAACTGCCTCTGCCTGGAGCAATGGGGTATAGTCTGTTACCTCATGGATGTTGTGGCACCCCTCCCTGC